TATATTTTAATTCTATTTATAAATATTCATATAGTACATGAGTTATATATTTGACACCACGTCTTTAATACTTATGTATTTATAAGAAAGTAAATAATTATTACAATTTATAAAAAAAAAATAACAACAAACTAAATAATGAAAGTTGAATGTATTTATTTTGTAACTATTGATACTTTTAAAACACAAATTTAAATAGAAAAATAATCACAATTAATTAAAAGTAACCTATAATAATTATTAGAATTAATATAATAAATTTAAAGAATTATAAAATTAAAATTATAACTATGAATATTTAACAAAAATTATATGAAAAAAATAAAAAAATGACAATTGATTAAACTTATATAATAAAAATTATTAAATTTTATTTAAAAGATTTTAAAAAATAATGACAACTGCTATGATAAAAAAAGATACATATGAAAAAATAAACTTTTAAAATTTAAATATTCTGTAGCCTTAATATAACATTAAATAATGTATTAAATACATTATAAATTTAAATATTTAATTATAATACAGATAAAATGATAAATAATTTTTATTTTACTTTTTTGTTGATTTATGTAAATTTATATTAGTTAGTGTAATTTTAAACATATATTGAACTTTTTTTTTATATTTTGAAAAAATTATTTTCAACCAACAATATACATGTCTGTGTAAAAATTTACCACAAGTGTTTAAGACTTTATGTAATTTTAACAAAATAAATACTCATGAAGATTTATAAAAAATAACAACAAATTAAACATTAAGATTTGAATATATTTATTTTTTATTTGTTGATTTATGTAAGTTTATGTTAGTTATTTTAATTTTAAATGTATATGTATAATTTTTTAAAATTTTAACAACTTTATTTTGAAATAATAAATATATATAAAATTAACTACACTATAAATTAAAATACATAATTATATTTTACATATAAATTAATAAATAAAATATAATTTAATTTTAAATTTCAACTTTCATTTATTAATTATGTAAATATTTATCAAATATTATCACAAATGGATATTAATAATTATATATTTTAAAGTTTTTTTACAAAACTATTTTCGACAAACAATCTATCTATATTTACATATATATATATAGAGTTCAATAAACATAATCATTTAATGTTATATATATATATATATATATATATTTTACATTTATATTAAATTATTTTTTATATGATTATCAATTGATCAATAATTAATAAATAAATTAAATTTTAATGTGATAAAAATAAGCTTAAATAAAGCATAAATAATAGCCATAGAGACATATAATTACAATATAAATAAAAAATAAAAATCATTAAAATAATTTTATCTTTTATTATATCACTAAATATGACTTAAATAAATTATAAGAATAATTTTACCTCCACCTTCACATATATAAATAAATTTTTATACAATTTTTAAAAATTAGCTGATTTTTTATTATTTTACTTTATTTTTTATTTCATAATATTTTGGCTCTCAATATTTGTTTAAATAAGTAAGTGTATATATTTTAATTTAATAACATTTTTATTTTTATAAAAATATATTTTTCAATAAATATTAATATTTTTATTTTTATATTTTTATTAAGTGTCAATATAATTATTTATAACTAAATAACTATAAATTATATCAAAGTATTTTATTTATTATTTGTTGAACAAGTATAAAACTCCATTAGTTTCAGGCAGTATTATAAGTTGAATTTTATTTTTATATGGTAAAATTTTATCGAAATTGTGAATATTAAACTAACAAATACATGCTAGGTAGATCAAATTAGGCTATTGAATTATATATGTTTATATTTTTAAATTTGTAAAAATAATTGTTTTTACGAGTTTCAATACTTTTAAAAAAAAATTATCCTGCAAACAAGTGTATTCATCAATTATAATAAAATAAATTATTTTAATTTTTTTGATATTTTTTCATAAAATTCATAATTATAAGCACTTAATATTAATGTTCATTAAATATCAAGTAGACATAATGGTTAAGAATTTTCAGGTGGAAAATAAGAAACAAGATAATTTAAGGAATTAAAAAAAATAAAACGTGGTGAAATCATATGATAAGATTTATATGAATAAAAACTTTAGATTTTTATTTTTTTTCTTATGATTACCTAAATATATTTTAATTTAATTTCAATCAATTATATTAATATAATTACCAGTCATCTAAGTAATTATTATCATTATATAATCATTATAAAATAATGATAATTTTTTTATGTATATGTCATCCTAATAATTACTGAAAATAATATATAAATAAAAATATTAAGATTTATAGACTTGTTAAATTTAATTAGTTGATTGGAAATTTGTATAATAGATTAATTTTTATATCCTTTAAAGTTAAATTATCTTTTAGTTCTGTTAACCTATGATTGCGTAGTAATTAATAAACTATAATTAATTTTTAAGTGACTAATTTAAAATCACAATATTAACAAAGAAACAATTTTAATAAATAACTAACAATAATATCATAAAATTATATCTAAATTCAAAAATATTGCATTACAAGTATACACTTCAACTAATTATTTGATAATTTGATAATACTAAAAAATTATTTGATAAAAATTATTAACAAAATCCGTACTCTAGAATAATTACTGTGTATTTAAAGGGAAAAAAATTGTCATTTACCTCCTTTATTTCTATACTAATTTGAGACTTAATGGCAGTACTCTCTAAGTATCTGCATACTTTAGGTTATAAAATAATACATTATCTTGCTTGTATATATGTTTGTAGGATTTGTCATTTGCAGTTACATGAAATAATTAAAAATTATCAACTTCTCAAATGACAATTAGAATGAAATATAGATTTTTAAGGATTATCAATATTCAAATACTACAGTAAACATTCAATTTATCTAAGTTGAATTAAATAATATCATTATAAACCGTGAAACTCTTGTTCTTTTTGTTTTTTTTAGTTTAATAGATCTCATTTTAATATATTTAATTGTTTGAGCGATTTTTGTTGAAGATTAATTATTCAAATAAATAAATTAGGAAAAAAACTCATCGAATAGTCAACTAGAATATATTGTCATGTCAAAAATCAACTTAAGAGAGAGAACTGAACACTAAAAGTGATGTATAAACACCAACAAACATTGCAGGAAAATAATTGTTATAGACATGATATAAGTCACAATTCAGTAGATTCACGACTTGAGAAAAATCATAGGTGCATGAGAATATTATTTTGATTGTGGGATCCAGTTAATTAAGTGGAATCCATTCAAGTTCTTGCGATGACTGAAATGCATTTTATTACGTAAATCAGTAATTTTTTTAATAAAGATATATCACAAAATTAAATTATTTTTAAATTTAATAAATGTAAATGAAATAAATATTATATTAATAAGTGCTAAATAAAGCTAAATTAAATTTTTAATTAAAATATAAGATATAATATAAAAAAACACATATCATGATAAAGAAAAATTACTAAAAATATTTTCATAAAAATAAACACTCTTGAAAATAATTTTATTTAAGAATTAATACTTACACTTTTATATAGAGAAGTCAATAATATTTTTATTTTTATTTTTTACAACTCTATCTTTTATTGACAAACAACCATGTTATACTTTTTGAAAAAGTAAAATAAATATTGGGTGAAAATGATGAGATGGGGGCAAGCCATAAAATAAATTTAGTGTTCATCATAGGTAAAAGAAGGTTAAAAAATATTTGAAGAATTTGAAAAGATCAAATGATATTTTATTTAATATTTATATTTTTCTCAGCATTCTGAAAACATCAATAGGGATTTTCTTAAAATAAAAAATGTTATGCACTCCCTAAAGCACTAGCAAGCCACACCTTTTTGTTCTACATTTTAAAATGAAACCTAAGACTCATCTTTACATATTGGTGAAGAGATTTTTTAAGTGGTCTTTAAATAACCTTCTAATAGGACCTACTAAAGGGTGGAAAATTAAATAAATACTAACTGAAATGAAAAAATTTTGAAAAATTAATACCCACTAGCAAGAAAGGATTTAGAAAATAATTGACGAAATAAGTCAATATTCTTTAAAACAAAAATTTAGCAGTTACTAACAAGTTTCTTACACACTAACGTCCTTAAAAATTTAAAAATATATAATTGTCGTTAAAGAAAAATATAATATAATAAAAGATGTTTTCGTTGTCATGAATAAATAAGATATTTGATTACATAAAAAAAAATTAAAAATTAAAAATAAATTAAAAATATAAAAATTTGAATCAACGATTAGTTAAATTTATAAATTTCGATTTCAAAAACTAAAGATATTAATATTGTCTAAATTAAAGTAATACTATTTTAAAAAAATAACAACTTATAAGATGCTTATGTAACATATTAATATAAAAAAAACTCTTAAACCATATTTGATTTCTGTTTTAAAAATAATTTTAAAAAATAAAAAATATAATACATTTTATTTTTAAAAACAGAAAACTAATTTTTTTTAAAAATCAAACATTCTCTAGTATCACGAATAAAAAAAATGCAAACTGAAATTGAATTTATATGATTGTCTAAATGAATAAATTATAAAAGTGTAGATATTTAAAAATGAAAAAGAAATTGAAGAGGAGGGAGAAGCGAGCCCAACCTTGGTTGCAAATTGCAATATGCATCGATGTCCTCGGTGTATGTTCTTGGGCTCTTAAATAGTGCCTCTTACGTGTTGTATTAGTAACTCATTAACTTCTTATCTCATTTTATTACTCTAATTTGTTGAATTCCAGGAATGGGAAAGCATGCACCTTTTTCATGCGAAACCCCCGAAGGTGGGCCTCCACAACTCTTCTTAGTATAAATACCACTATGGCGTTCCTTTGCTACGCCACAAAATCAGTGATCACTCACTAATACATCGCTTTCCAAACGCTTCCTTCGCATAACGTCTCCTTAAACTACTACTTCTATCACCCCAATTCATATTCATAACAAATTCATCATCATCATACTCTTTAATTCACGCACTCCTCCTCTCCCAAGCTGCACCATCTACTACCTTTTTTATATCCTTTTCCGCTGCTCGTCGCATCTTAATTTGACAGTGACGGTACGTACACTTACGGTGGTCCATTTTAATTACATGTGGGCTACTGTATTTTTTATTTACTTTTTCATTGTTACTATACTGTTAACTACTTTGTTCATCCCCTGCTTTAAGCTCTGTTTCGGAAGTCAAATATCATTCATTTCCCTTATAATTCGTATATATCTTATCCTAAACATACATGCCGTTGCTTGCAGCCTGAGCTTGTTTGTTTTTATCTCCTCTCTCCTTTCCCTTGGTAGATTCCTTTTTAATTGAGTGTGTTAAGTTAAGGAAAATATAAAAAGCAAGTTTGATTTCATGACACACACACGAAATATAAAATTTCTCTTTCCTAGTCGTGTGTATTGTATGCTTATCCATTTGCTGATGGATTAAAATTGATATGTAATAGGTTGAACAAAAATATCTCGTGGTAATTAACAAATTGTATATAAATTAATAAGTATGAGGTGGATAGGTTATAGTGGTTTATTACATAAAGTAAATGTTTGATCAACGTGTGCAGGTATAGTGAAAGAAAATGAAAATCTCAATATCAGCGTGTGCCTGCAAGCAAGAGCTACCCCTAGTAAATTTCCAAAAGGGATTAACGATGGAGGCGTTGTTTAAGCAAAGGAAGGATAAGGTGGTAGTGATAATGGGGGCCACGGGAACCGGCAAGACGAAGTTGGCCATAGACGTGGCAAAACACTTGTATCCAGCGGAGATAGTGAACTCAGATAAAATGCAAGTTTACAAAGGTCTTGACATCACGACCAATAAGGTGAGTGAAGAAGAGTGTGGTGGAGTCCCACATCATCTGCTTGGCACAATTGATCCTAATTTAAATTTCACAGCCAACGAGTTCTGTCGCTACGCTACTTTGGCCATCGATTCCATTGTGGAAAGGGATGGCTTACCCATCATTGCTGGCGGGTCCAACTCTTACATAGACGCGTTGGTGAACCATCACACGCAGTTTAGGCTAAGGTATGAGTGTTGTTTCCTCTGGGTCGACGTGTCCCTCCCAGTGCTTCATTCCTCCCTCCGCACACGTGTGGACCGCATGATCGAAGCTGGCCAAGTCGACGAGGTTCGTCAATTCTTCCAACCTCACGCCGATTACACCAAAGGGATCCGAAGGGCCATTGGGGTCCCCGAATTCGACGATTTTCTCAGAGCAGAGGCTTCTTCCGCCGATGAGAAAACCAAAAAGAAGCTTCTAGAAGCTGCCATTGCTAGGATCAAGGTTAACAACTGCACGCTCGCCAATCGCCAGCTTCAGAAGATTCATCGCTTGCACGGTTTGTGGAAACGGACCATGCACCATCTCGACGCCACCGAGGCGGTCCTCAATAGCGGCTGTGAGGACACGTGGCACCATCACGTCCTCGCCAGGAGTTTAGCAATACTTCACAAGTTTCTTTACGAGGAAACGCATGTTCCCGCCGGAATTATGTCAACCAAAGATGTAATCGCCGCTGTTTCTACGCCGCCGCCGCCGCCCAAGGTAGCAATGGCTGCTACCCATTAGAGGTAGGGCCGGAGAATCTATACACAAAGCGCGCATGCTTCAACGCTATGCCATTCCCACATCTTTTTCTTTTTCTTTTTCTTTTTTTCAGGTCATGTCATTGGTAGTAAATGTTTTACTTACTATAAATATAAATATAAATATAATATATATATATATATATATATATATATATATGGAAAATGTAATTTTTTTTTGGGTTACATCAGTATCAAGAATACTTAAGTGTATTCGTATAAATTAATTAAATATGTTAATGGAGCATAGCATATACTATCGCTGCTTTGTTGGCTAATGCTGTGGACCTGCGGTGTTACAGTTGCGCTCGGGAAATGCTTGTTAAATTGGATACTGATGTGACGGAATTTTTTTATCTTTTGACACTTAAAAAGATAATCTTATATACTTCTTATATTGTGAAAGCCGGTGTGATTGGTAAATATTCAAGAAAAAAAATTGAAGGATGATTACTCACTTGCCATCACTATCAATGCATTAGGACTCGTAACTTTCGTTTGGAAGAAATATTTTTTTATAGGAGTACAAATTTGTTTTGCAAGAAAAATAGTAGAGGAAGAAAGTTCATTACCATTTTAATCTCCATTAAATATAAAATATAATCGTTATAGCAGTAGAAATTTTTATTCTTATTTCTTTCTTCTTAAACCCTGCAGTTTCGATTGTTTTTTAGCCATTGTAAAGTTGTGATACATCTTAACAAAATTTATCATAGGGCACACTTTTAAAAACAAATTTTAAGGAAACAGGTTTTTCGTATCTTAATCAACTGAGAGTTTGAGTAGACTCAAAATCATAAAACAAAAAGATGAAGTGAAATTCTTAGTTTATGTTTGAGTTATAGTTGCTATGTCTTAAATTATACCACCATTACTGTTATTTATAAGAACAAGTACCTAAGATCAGTAAAAAGTAGTTAATTTCATAAATTTATACTCTATTTCGTAAATATTCATAGTATTAAATGGTCAAATTAATATGTTGTATATTAAATGAATAATGAGAACTTCATCAAACACAACTTATAATAAATAAGAGTATACAAAGATTTTAACAATTAATACATTTAATTTTCTTATATTTAAGATTAAAATAATTTAGATAGTTATTTTTTATAAATAGAACCAAAGATAATACTTAAAAAATATAAATTAAGTTTCTGGCAGGAATAACACAGTCAACAAAAATATATTTGAGTCTTAAATGAATATTATTTTAAATTATAAATCATAAATATTGAACACAAATTAAAAAACCTTTCCATAAACAAATCCCATAAAAGAAAAACCTTTTATTTAAAAAAGAAAAATAAAAATGTTAATTTATATATAAAAAAATTATTGTCTATCAATTAAATTTTGTTCTTCCATAAGCACAAGCAATAGCATAATGTAAAATTTGCATCTGAACATCGAAGTACCTATATTTGGCGGCCGTACAGTGGAGAAGCAATATTGGGATCCGGGAAAGACGGTTAAAGTGGATGAGTTGTTGTATAACTGTAAACAATAGTATATCGAAAATGTTTTATAGGGGTTTATTCTTGGAGATAGAAAGGAATAGAAGAGATTAAAGAGATAAATATATATATATAAAAGATAAGAATTTTATTTATAAATTCAAAATAATTTATCTTTTTAAATTTTAAAAAAATTAAACAAAAAATATTTAGAAATTAAAAAAAATATTTTTTAATTTATAAAAATTGATTTGTAAGTTTATAAAGTGAAAGATGAAAAAAGTATTTACTTTGCGCAATGGGGAGCTAGACCTTTTAGTGAGCGATCCGTACTGATAGTTTGTGGTGCGCCTGCATCAAGCATGATCGATTAAAGTTGGCTCTTTGGTGGGTCCAATTTAAAAGGTTGAATTTGATCACAGTTACTGATTGATAGGTGATGGAATGGGAGTATAAGTCCCATGTCCCACTAATGGTGGTGGGGACCAGAGGAGAAGGGAATGGCGTTTCGGTCTTTTCATGTGCCATTTTCTGCGGATCCCAGATTGGACTTGTGTAAGGCCGTGCCTCCTTCCCACCATGAAAATGACACATTATAACATGTACTCCACTACGTACATTTATTATATATATATATATACACACACATGAATAAGATATGTGTCCGCTTCATCCACTTAATGCACTCTCAATCACCGTCTATTCAAGATCGAGCGGGTGAGGAACGAGGCCAACCCCAGTGCAACAAACAGGGACGTATGATTTGATTGAGTTGAACGTCCTTGATAATGTGATATCGATCCATCCATAGATCAACATGAGTTGAGCTGGGTTCTCATCATTTTCGACTAATGATGGGTACAATTCCTCTAAAGTTTATACTAAACTTTTAGAATGCGGTATACAATTCCTCCACAATATATTATTCACGTTTAACTGCCTCTTTTATTATTAACTTAATTACGTAGACAAGTTTCTATATATTTTATAAATCAATATGTCAGTAAAAGTATTCAATGAATTATCCATCATATTCTTATGCTAAGTGAATAGGGAATCTGGAAAAAGAGACAAAAGGGGGGAAAGGTTATTTAAAAAGGTGGGGGCAATACTCTCGCAGAAGCCCTATGTCTTCTTCATCTCTCATGATTCCAACCAATATATAACACACAGCTTGCCTTTATACTCCCACTCACCACCCCATATTTTAAAGGTTAAAGTGGACCCATTACGGGCATATTGAAAAAAAATACATCTTTTGTTCTTAAGCACTTTCGCTTTTAATTCCCCTACCTCCCCTTTCGAGTATAGAGAATTTTACAAAAACAATTGCTTGTACTATATCTGGGAAATCCTTGAAAACACACACACACACACATATATATGTTAACTAACAATGCATATATATGTGTGGTCAAAATCACCTTTAGTAAAGAGGCATAGTCTTGCCTTTGCATCTTATATAAAAAGAAAAGAGAAAAAAAAAAAAAAGACAGTACGAGTAATGATTTTCCAACGCTTCCATGAGCATCTTGGTCCACATCAAACATGCATAGAATATATTTTCCAAAGGTTATAATATAAAAGTATAGTATCTGTTCTTATCAGTTCAGTAACTGTATGAAAGTGATTTATATGCATTTCATCACTACCAAATTATCTATATTTTAATTAATAGATATCATTATCAATTAATAAGGTTACTTAGGGCTTCTCGTGGCTGACATTTGTAAATGCCGGAACACAACGTCAACTTGTAGTATATTATCAATATAATTAACATTGCTGCCAACAGGGTTCGTTACAAGCCTCGATATATCGGTGGATCAGTGTATATTGAGATCGACAGAAATCATTATTAACGAAATGCGATATATATTATACATGTGTGAGCAACATTCAAATTGTATCACGATATTTTAAATACTAAATATGTCACTAATCTGAACCATTATGCTTAAACTCTGCGTTTTTATTCTTCTTAGGTTTCGTACAGAAACCCAAAATATATGATTTTTTAGTCAATAAAACAGAACCAAACTTCTTACATATAGAATCATATATAGAACCCAAAAGAAAAAAAAATCTTATGAAAACTATCAATTTCTTATGCGAAGTCATACGTGTATGACAAGCCATGAACTTAAGTTCATCGGTAGCGGTTTGTTATATATATAATCAAATATGTTATCATTAAGCATTAAATTTAAATATTACTTAATAACTTTTATAAAATATAAAATTAATTAATTCAATAATAATTTGAAAGTTTTTATTAAATAAATAAATTTGATAAAAAAATAAAACTAATAAGTATTTTATCATATTATTTAATTTTAATGTATCTTATATTTTTAAAATATAAGTAAATATTAAATTATAAATAATATATTTATAAACTAAATATTAAAATTATGTAAAATTTAATATATATGATTGTAAAGATAATATAAAATAATTCAATTGTCAGATGGATCAATATCATATTTTATAAAAAAATATTAAATAATATAGATATTTAAGTTGACACTTATTTCTTGATTTTGCTCTACATAGAATGGGAGTAACTTAGAGCTTAAATAAAGTAAATATTTTATATGCATTCATGCGCTGGGTGTGGGAACAAGAATTAAATTTGAACAACACCACAGACGGGTGCTTCCTGAATTGAGAGATGCTTGATGGGAATAAACAAAGTAAAGGCGAACGAAGAGGAAGATAAAACATTTCTGCCCTACAGCTTTCATGCTCTTCCGTGTCATTTGTCATCACAAATGCCATCTCTCTCTCACACTGTTGTGGCTTCTTTCTACAAAAAGACTAGTCAAGTAACACCAAAGAATCCAAATTCGGTATGAATCTAAAGTAATAGACGAGCGCATGGGGATACATTCTAAATGCATCTTCTAGTAATCTCAAACCCATTGCACTTTTTCCCTAATAAAAGAAAGATTAGGGAAAAAGTGCAATGGGTTTGTATGCATGGATATAATATCTTTGTAGGTCATGAGTTCGACATGGTACAAAATGCCAGCCACGAAGGGTAAGCGAAAGAGTACTATGAATTTGTCCTCCTTCCCCTACGTTATTGTCCCCTTTTTTCCTGAGTGATCATAATTATAAGAAAGTTAAAGATTGATTGAGATAGGATCCATAAATCCCCTTTGTCTCGGAATGATCATCGGGCGAGTTGGTATGGTTCCCAATTCTATTTAGATAGAAGTATATTGTTGAAATGAACTCGAGTGTATCGTCACTATATTTGATACTTCTTTTACGGCGCGCATTCCACTACATAAAGATCAAAGGTACGTATGTGAACGACAACATATGATATAACAGTATCTCTATCAATCGCCATCTGTGTGATTATCATTAAATCTGAGTATACACGAGGACAATATATTATTCTACTTTGATTCACGAAACGTTAATATTTCATCAAATAAATGTTATGGCACCTTTGTCCTAAGCCAACCCGACATAATGTTGGAAATCCAGTTCTAATAAACCCTCTAAATCATTTAAAGAATACAACTAAGACATTTAAAATTTAAGTAATTAAACT